GCTTTTGTTCATTTTGTGACCTTAGTGTTTGTGGCAGTTTTTCCGTCGATTCTTTGGGGGTTTTTCGAGTATACAGTTGCCGTATCTTTAAGGAATGGTATTTTTTCATCTTTTCCAGTACCTCTCTTCTTTTGAGATCCTCTTTTTCAATCTCTTTATTTTATAGTTGGTGGGGGGGATTGAGATGCAGAGAGAAGCCACCCATCTGTCGGTAGCTAGGCCAAAGCTCTGGGTTCCTGCCCACGGCTCTGCCCCTTCCTGCCCTCTCTCTGCCCCCTCCGCAAGCCCGGCTCGCTCCCTGTCTCCTTTGCTTGTCACGTTCAGAGCTCCGGGCCCTCTTGCTACGAGAGGGGAGGGTGTTCACAGCCCTTCTGCAGCCTCTCCCTGCCGTCTGTCATGCCTGCCCCACAGACAGGTTTAGGTTCCGGGCCACAGGCTGTGGGAGTCCCAGGGGGATGAGAGGGATGCCGGAGAGGGACGTTGACAGAAGTCCCCGGGCAGAATAATAACAGCGTGCCACATTCCAGCAGCAGCCCCCCTGCGCCTCCCCCTCATGGTGTATCACTCTGCACGTGCACTGCAGACCAGCTGCCTGAGGGGCCTCCAGGGCCTGAGCCCCCCCACAGGGCCTGCTGTGTGCATGTTGGTGTCTGTGTAATTAAAAATAAGCACGCCTCACTTCACCCAGTGCGGAGATGCCGCCACCTCGGGTGGGGTGCGGCAGCTGCGCGCTGGCTCTGTGGCTGCCCGGCTGTCCAGCCTGGTGTGGAGGGACGGGCAGGACTGGGCCGCTCAGGCAGGCTGAGGCAGGAGGTACGGGGCGGTGACTCTCTGGAGACGGAAGGAGCAGACCTCATCCCTCCCTGGGCCTAGGGCTCATGTAGGAGATGTGTGATCCATTCCTTGGCCTGAACCCCATTGCCTCATCCTTTTGGGAATTTGAGGTCAGTCTCTTAGCTCTGAGTGAACACAGCCTCTAGGTAACCTGGGAGTAAGACTGCCCTGTCTCCACCTGGCCTGACCTCTTGTGCCCCCGCTCCCATCTGAGGAACCCAGGTGAGGGCGGCTCAGGTAGTTCTTCCTTCTCCCCCTCCCGCCCCCTAATTCGTGAAGAACTATCATGGGAGGCACTGTGGGTCCTGTGGGAGACCTTGGCCTTTGGAGGAGCCCTGAGCTGCATGGGCTGAATGCTTGCCCCCCACCCAGAATATGAGCACTGCCTAAGGTCCGAGGGGGGGTGTGCTGTGTCCCCAAGGTGGCTGGGCAGCGGCACCGTGGCAGCTCGGGTATCTGCCAGCCGTCCTGGGCATTGCGCCGGTGTGAGTGCAGGGTAGCGGGGGTGCTGGTAACAGGTCCCCTGGAAACCCCTGCATTATGGGTTGTGTCCCATGTACCCCTTGTTTCTCTTTGTGGGAGGGGAGCCTTGGAGGTGTGTCTCAGGGACTAGACTGCTTTTGTCGTTTCTAGCAGCCCCTGCTGGTGCCTTGGCCTGAAGAGCTGACTGCTCGCTGTTAGGTGGGGAGGGTTGTGGGCGTCTGTCTCCCACCTTGGAGAGGGGCCTTGCAGTCCCCTCGAGTTTGTGTGTAGGAGTGAGTGGCCCTGGCCAGTGGCTTCAGTGGCCCGAGCAAGTTCCCCTGTCCGTGATGCTTCTTCAAGCCCCTGGCTGTCTGCGCTGTGGGAATGGGTGTGCCCAGGGCTAGGAGCCCAGTGTGGCGTTGACCTAGTGTCCTTGGCTCTTGGCAGTCTGCTCCGGGAGGGCTCCCTGGGGCCGGCTGAGGGGGAGGCAGCTGCCCTGCCTTCCTTCACTGATTTTCCAGTGTCTACCAGCTCGTCGGCCTGCTGCCTGGGCCGCAGCTCCTCCTGCGCAGTGGGGACCGGGAGCGGGCCCCTCTCCCTCGGGGGCAGCACTTGGCTGGGAGGGAATGGTCCTGTCCTCCCTGTCTGGTCCCTGAGGGACAGGGCATATGGCCACTCCTGCCCCTCACCCTCCAGCCCCAGCCACCACTGGACTCAGTGTTGCTCAGTGAGCAGAGCACAGAGGGTCTCCCAGGAGAGGCTTCAGGGACATCTCTAAACCCGTCCCTTGCCTATGGGCCTGGGTTGGAAGTTTGTCCTTTGCCTTCGTCATGCCCCTGAGTCTGAATTTTGACAAGACTTAGCATGTGTTAAAATGATTTGGGGCCGAAGCCGTCAATGAGATTTTAATGAGCTCAGCACCTCCCTCCAGTAGGGAGCTCCAGGGTCTCCAGGTGGTGGGGGTAGGACCGAGCTGGGCTTGGGTATGAGGCTGCCCCTCCAGGGGCCTGGGCGCGGGCGTGGGCAGCTGGTGCTCCCCGTATAGGGTGCTGGGAGGAGGGAGGAGGGGCAGGGAAGGGGGGCTGCGAAGCCACAGTTTTCTCTCCCTCCTCTGTCTCTCCTGTTTCTCTGTTCTCCCCGATGGCTTTGAGATGAAGGCGACGGTAAGGATGGAGGATGCAGTTTCCATGGCAACAGGGCTGTCCACAGCCAGGCAACTTCAGAGCCGGGCTCTCCGGAGGAGGCAGATGCGCAGAGCAGCCGAGAGCTGCCTCCCGCCTGCCAATGAGGGGACTGGCAGAGCAGGTGGCAAAGGTGGCTGCCTGGTGCTGCCCACCCTGCTGCCCAGCTTGGAGAGGAGGGCGGGAAGAGCGGCCCTGCCTCTTGTCATCCTCATTACTTCCAGAAGGGAACTGGGCGTGAGTGTTAGCAGGGCGTGGGGCAGGGCTCTGTTGTCCTTGGAATTTCTGGGTGAGCACAGGCTCTGGTTTCTGGGAGCATCCCCAAAAGCCAGCTGTCTGCAGCCCTTGAGAGATGGGCCACCAGGTAACTGATGGCCGCTAGGGCATTTCCCTGTGGGCCCTTTGAATGCCCAGAGCATGAGGAGGCTGGTGAAGGCCATGTCCTGCTTGGGTTCTAGGGCCCCTTTCCCTTCCCTTGCCTCTGGCACCGAGGAAGGACCTGGACCTTCCGGGAGCCACCCTGGCCTTGGTGACATGGCCTGTTTCACTAGGGGCTCAGGTTTGGCAGACCCACCCAAGGGCTGGTATTAGAAGGGTCCCCAGGCCTGGTTGCTCGTGTTGCTGATGTGTTCTTGTGCAGCCCCCCCGAGAACCAGGGTAGTGAGTGTACGGACAGGCGGAGCAGCGGAGAAAACCATCGGTGTGTCCAGAGGTGGAAGGAGCTTGGGACATGGACTTGTGAGACCTAGAGAGCACCCCCCTTGGCAGAAAAGATCGGCCCGAACTGTTACAGATCATGACTCCTTCACTGGCCCCGGAGGTGTCAGGGCTAGGGTGTCCCGCTCTGTGCTTGAGCACAGGGAGACTCGGGAGACCCGGCCCTGCCTGAGTCACCCACGGCGTCAGAGGCTGAGCTGCCGCGAGACCTGGGGTCAGGCCCTCCGCCCCAACGCGGCCTCCTAGCTGCACCCTGCCTCCCGCTGGCTGTGGAGGCCCAGCTGGAGCAACGTGTCAGGCCCACGGCTCCTCCTCTCTTCCCGGGAGGGTCATTTTTACCTTCTTCACCTGCTTTAGTGGAGGGGGCTCGTCAACCTAGGCTTGGCCAAGCAGGTGGACAAGTGGAGTCTGGAGGGGCTTCTGCCCACCGGCTGCTGAGTGTCATTACTGTTAAGTGGAAGGTTCATTTCCGAGCTCGTGGTGAGCGCCGGTGGGAGCTGTAAATAGCCGTGTCGTGCAGGTTGGCGGGTGAGCATCCACAGAGAGGGGCCTCGCGGTCATCTCGGTGGTTACTGCGCTCCATTGCAGGAAAGGGGGGGCTCAGGACAAATGCACTTGACCCCTATTCTGATTGTTCCTGCCGGCCTCAGGCCAACTCTGGCCTGTATCTCTGCCCCCTTCCACCCACGGTGGGGGGTGGGGAGCCTTGGGTCTGAGTCTAGGCAGAGGGGAGTGTCTTGTTAACACATTGCGTACCACTTAGAAATCTCTAAGACATATACCAGGGACTGCACGTTTTTGGGCAAACTGCACGTTAGGTTCTGAGCTGCACTCATTTGAACCAGCAGATACCCATTCCCTAGCTACTTCAAGAATATAGAACCGGGTGCTGTTTTCGAACGTTGACCCTTAGGGCGAAGAGTCATAAATACAATAATCCTATATTCAGAGCTTCGAAACCTGAAATAGCTAATGCAGGTGCAAACCCGCGTTAACTCATGCGCGGTCCGTTTGGGCAGGAAAACACGAGTTAACTCGTGAGCGGTCAAAGTGTGTTAAGGTATCTCAGAACTTGGGGCCCTACAAGCTGGTCCTTCAACCCATTGGGGAGTTGAGGTCATGTCCAGTGTTAGCTCCACTTGTCCTTCTTGTCCCTCCAGCCTGGGTCCTGGCTCCCCTCCCCCAGCTGAGGCTCTGAGCCCAGGTGCGGGGAAGGCTGGGACCAACCACAGCTGGTGGCCTTGGAGGTTCCGTAGACCTGAACTTGCAGGGAAGTGGGAGTGGAAGAGGAGTTGGCTGACCCGGAGCCATGTCCGGGATTTGTCAGTAATGTCTGCAAGGACGGGCTGGAGGCCTGAGGGTCAGGGAAATGGCCTCTCCTGGTATCTGCGGGGCAGTCAGTATTGTCCAGGGTGGAGAGGAGGTCAGGGCCAAGGGGTCTTGGGATGGAAAGTCTGGCAGGTCAGACCCTGGCTTAGCTTGAGTGCCTAGGACCATAGTTCGTGGGGTCCCTGGCCCAGGGCGGTCTGAGGTGTTAAGCTTCGTGGCTATGAGAGACCTGTGCTTTCTGAACCAGCCTTTTGGTCCCAGACATGCACATGGGATTCACAGCGACAGGCTCCTGGATTCTTGTAGCACTTGTCCTCCAGTATGTTCCAGGGACTCCGGGGTCCTCAGGCCACTGCCCCTCTGGAGTGTGGGGGCAGGAGGCAAGCCAGCCCCCTGGGGGGGAACAAGCAGCGGCCACTCGGGCACAAGAGGCCCATCCATGGAGGGCTCATTCCGCCTTTGCCCTTCTCTGACAAGGAGCGGAAGCTGTGTGCCCACCCTCGGCTGGAGATCTACCAGCAAGACCAGATCTACTTCATGTGCCCGCTGGCGCGGCAGGGAGATTTCTACGTGCCTGAGGCGAAGGAGGCAGAGCGGAAAAGCCGGGGGCCTGCAGACGCCAGCGACACCCAAGTGGACGGCACAGGTACGGAGGGCAGGAGACCAAGGCGCACGCTGGGATGCAGAACGTGGTTGAGGAGCCTCCTCCCTGGCTGGGCTGCCCTGGGGTGTCCCAGGCTAAGCTTGGCCGAGGTGGAATGAGACCTGCGCACCCGGGACCCACAGGCAGGGCTGGCTGTTCCCAGACACGCGGGGCCATGTAGGTGTGGATTCATACATGTTACCCCTGGCAACACAAATACAAAGATTCTGCCCGGATTCCCTTCAGATGCCACAGGAGTACCCTTGGAAACACAGATCACTGACAGCTGGCTGCTCGTGGGAGGGGGCTGAGGCTGCTCAGGAAAGGCTCCCTTGGGTGGGGCTCATCAGGAAATAAGATTGGCATTGGATCTGGAAGGTAAGAAGGGGAACAGGTGTTCTCCTGTCCCCCAGTGTGGGTCCTGCGCAGAGCCAGCCGCTTTGTCCCTGCCGAAGAGCAACCAGCAAGTGCGGGGGCCGGAGGTCGGGGGCCGGAGGTCGGAGCCCAGCCCTGCGCCAGAACCAGCCTTTGCACCCCGGGTCCAGCAGCGGTGCCTGCCTGCTCTCGGCCCAGCCCCTTGCCCTGACCTCCCTCGTGACGTGCGCTGTCCCCGAGGGTGGGAGGCCTGCTAGTGACACCCCAAGTGTCCCCAGGGGTCTGACCTTGGCCACGATTGTGGGACCTCATGTGAGTCTGAAGGTCCTTGACCGGTGGGAGTGGCTGTCTCTCTTCATTTCCTTCTTCAGAAGACGCCCTGTCTGCCCATCCTGCACCGCCAAGGTTACCCTAGAGAGGCATGTGTTGTCAGGGGTGGGGGGTATGGGAGGCAGTCTCCACTCCCTGGGGGCTGTGTCCATCACAGTTAGCTTCATCTGCCGCTTAATTACCTCCGTGGGGCACCACTCCCACCCTCCTGCAGTGCCTGGCAGACACCCTCAGCGTCCTTACTGTGGGCACGGGATGTGGCCCAAGGTCAGCCGGCCCAGGCAGTCCCCAGGGCAGGAAGGAGGAGCGCCTTGACCTTCCTCCGATCCCCTTTGCTGCCTCTCTCCCTCTTTGGCCCCCTCACCCAACCTCCCTCCCAAACACCACCTGCCAGGGGTACTGAAGGACTGCTTGGCACCCGATACAGCTGGCTGCAGCCAAAGCTCCCACGCCCCTCGCTCCTGGGCCCGCCCGCCCACTCCCTGGTGTGGGGGCCGAGGGGTCTGCCCACATGCCGGGCAGATTCTGGGTGTCTGCCTGCCCGGTGCATGCCACTTGGCACAGCAGTGCATGGTGGGCACCTGGCCGCCCAAGGCTTGGCCTGTCCCTGCCCGCCTCCCTGCTGGGGCGTCACTTGGGCTGGGAGGTGAAAGGGGGTGATTAGCTGCCTTGCGCCTGTTATTACGTTGATGCATTATTCAGCTCCAGAGAGGCAGTGAGTCTCTGATCTGCTGGCACGGGCTGTGGGCAGTGAAGGAGGTGAGGACGAGGGTGAGGTAGCAGCTTCATTCCCTTCCCCAGCAGCCCTGAGGATTAAGGTGGGGTGTTGATTCTCTGCCTTGTACTCCTTTGCCAGAAATGTCCACATGTCCCCAGGGGCTGTCCTCAACCCGTCATGCTGGGCCCTGGCCTGAGGGGCCACCCCGGGCTCCTTTCTCCGATCACTCCTAGCCCAGGAGCCAGGTCCCAAGAGAGCCAGTGGGTGGGAAGAAGGCGGGAATTTAATGGGGCCCGGGAGAACCTGTTCCCCCCTTTTGCTGCTTTCAGGCCTGCAGCCCCTGGGGCGCTGATCCTTACTTAAGGAACGGATGAGGGGCTGGAGTCCTGACCCAGCATCAGAGGGAGCCACCCCTAAACCAGGGCATGGTCCAAGCTCACTCTCGAATGTCTGCCTCCTGGGCGCCATGGCTGGGGCCCCAGCAAGAAGAGGGCCTTCCGGGCTGGCTCACTGCACCTCTGCCAGCAGGCCCAGAGGGCATCTTCTTGGGGACAAGGGGACTGGGAGGGCAGACCCCAAGTTCTCCCCCATCCCAGACTCAGCTGAGGCTTAATGAAAGTTCCAGGCCAAGTCCAAATGCCAAGCAGTCCCCAGCTGCGCCTGGCTCGGGGCTCCATCACTATGGAGACAGGATCTGGGGAAGCTGGCCCACCCCTCACCTTCTGTGATGTTGGACAGCTGCCCCCCTCACGGGAAAGGAGACATGTCAGCTCCTTCTCAGTCTGGAGTTCTGCACAGTGGGCCTGAGCTCCTGGCTCCTCCTTGGCACCCCGGCCGCTGATCTGGGGAGATGAGCTGAGGGGTTGTCCTAGACAGGGCAGATGAAGGGCTGCCTGCCGGAGCACAGGTGGGTGTGGGAGGAGCAGGCTGGGGGTGTGGACCCGCCGCCCAGCGTGGCACTGGCTCAGGCTCCCCGCTGCCAGCAGAGTGCTCTGGTGGTTCCTTCTGCTCTGTGGCTCGGGAGCCACCAGTGGATGGGGGTGGGTAAGGGCTCCTCTGGGGTGACCCAGGCACAGGGGAAGAATACAGTGCTTCCTCCCAGCACCGTCTTCTGTGCAGCAGACAGAGGGTGTCTCAGGGTCTCTGTCTCCTGCTCCAGCCTCCTTGGGAGCCAGCCGACTCTCTGCCTGCGGCTGCACATGGAGCCCTCCATGGGAAGGGGGACGGGAGGGTAGGCTTCCTGGTCCATTCTGTCCTCATGCCTATGGGCAACATTCAGTAGCTGGCCTTGGACAAACCTCCCTCCAAGCCTGGAATGGGGGGTGGAGGAGGGGCGCCACTTGGGCCTCTTTGTTCTGCCCTCTGCTTCGCACCTCAGGGCCCAGTGGTCCTTAATGGACTGTGGGGGGAGGGGAGCTTTGTGGGAATGCGGGGAGCTGAGGTTAATTCCTGGTAGGGAGAGGAGTGCACAGCAGGCTGCCCTCCCCCTCCTCCTCCTCACTCCCTCTGCCCTGTGAGGGCAGGGGGCAGGGGGCAGGGGGCAGGGGGCAGCTGGAATGAGCCTCCTGAGCCTGGGTGGCTTTATTATTCATGAGCTCACTGTGTGTGCTGAGTCGCTGGGCTGGTGGAAGGCTCAGTTCTCTCCCCGGAGGAGGGGCAGGGTCTCAGCTAACCTGCGCTCCCTCTTCCTGGCCCAGGAGCTGACACGCTGAGCGACACGAGTTCCGTGAGCCTGGAGGTGGGCCCTGGCAGTCGGGAGACGTCAGCGGCCACACTGTCGCCTGGGGTGAACAGCCGCGGCTGGGACGACAGTGACACCCGCAGTGAGCACAGCTACAGCGAGTCCGGCGCCAGTGGCTCCTCTTTTGAGGAGCTGGACCTGGAGGGCGAGGGACCCCTGGGGGAGCCAAGGCTGAGTCCTGAGGCTGAGCCCCTGGGGGCTCCCAAGTGGCCCCGGGAGCTCAGTACCCCGGAGAAGGGCGAGGAGTAACCCGTGGCCCACGTCCTCCTGTGGTGCAGTCACTGAGGAACTGACAGACCGCAGCCCTCCCCCTGCGAGCCCAGACCAGGCCATGGTCTCGGGGGACCTGCCTCTGACCCCGACCTCCAGCTAAGCCCTCTTCTCACTCCCCTCTGGGCTCCCAGGGCCAGGGGGCAGGGGCTGCTCTCCGCCCGCCCGGACTGCTGCTCTGCTACAGCTTTTCAGATTCACATTGGAGCTTCCGGGAACCAGAATAAAACGAAATATTTTATTGTTTCACCTGGATGTGGGCTGTGCATTTGTTTGTTCTGCCTCAGGGAGCCCCGTGCAGATAGGCTGGGAGGGGGCAGGAGCACCCCAACCCAAGAAGAGGAAGGAGGGGGCCAGGTACCCTGTGGGGGGGCAGAAAGGGGTCTGGGAGGCCGTCCACTCCCTGCTCTGTGGCCCGTTAGCAGCTGCCCCTCCAGTGCAGCAGTCCCAGGTCCCCAGGCCGCTGGGAGCAGGACTGGGGGTGTGAGAGCTGAGTGCGGGGCGCTCCTGGGCTCGGGTGGGAGCTCAGCCTGCGCTCGTCGGCCTGGAGGGCTGCACTTGTGTCGTGGCGGGAATGTGCCCGTGTTCACGCTGGATCTGCCCAGCAGGTGAGGCTGTCCCTGCCATGCCCGCCAGTGTCTGTGTACCTGCGTGTGGACATGCACACACATACTCGTGCTTCCGTTCTGCGTGCGTAACCACGGGTGGGTTTGCCGCCGGTGGTTCTGGGTGAAGCTATGCCCAAGTGGGCATCAGAAGGTTGTGGCTGGGTGTGGCTGTCTGTGTGTGGACGGCCATGTGGCTCTGTGCTTCGTGTGTCTAAGTGTATGTGGTTGTGTTACAGGGGTGTGAGAGCGTCACTGGGGGGGCTTTTCCCATACGCAGCTCAGCTGTCTGTGTGGCTTTGTGCCTGTACAGCTGTGTGTGGGGGTTGTGTGTTCACGTGTTAAACTGTTTTTCTGTGTGTCTGCATGTAAAGCTGTAGGTGTGTGCAGCTGTATGTCCATGAATACAGCTACGTGTGTCTACACAGGGCAGAGGGCAGCTGGAATGAGCCTCAGGGGCAGCTTTATTCTTCACGAGCATGCCGTGTGCCATGTTTGTGACTGTCCTTGCATGCAGCCGAGTGAGTGCGTCCACATGCACCGCTCTGTGAGGCCGGGTGTAGATCTGCGTATTTTTGTGCCGCGGCGGGCCCAGGAAGCCCCCTCGCTGCGGGCCGTGATGGGCCTCGGGCGGGCGCTGTTTAAAGCCCTGCTTCTCCTGTGAGTTTGCCTGGTGAGTGGGCTGGAGTGCTGTGCGGCTGTCTCACCTCAGCACCCTGCTGCTGCCAACCCCTCTGCTCAGGGGCCTGGCCTGTCACTCACCTACCCCAGGGGGCAGTCACTGAGCCAGCAGAGGGCGAGAGCAGCGGGGCTGGAAGGCCCCCTGTCTGTCTGACAGCTCTGAGCCCTCATCCCTCTGCCACATCCCGCCCATTAGCTGTGGAGTTTGGGTTTGATGTGTTTGTGTGTTTCACAGCTGTGCTCTTTCCAGAGCGTGGGGCACTGGGGCTCTGTGTCCAGGGAAAAGGCCTGTCCCCCCTCGCCTGCTGCAGGCACAGAGCTGTGTACGACAGGGTCTGGGCTCGGTACGCGCTCGCTGCACGGGTCTGAGCAGCCTTGCCTCTGCTGATACCTGTGGAAGAAGAGGCCGCGCCAGGGAACGTGTAGGGACGCTGTGCTCCTAACTTAGCGCTTGTCAGCGTGAGTGTGCTTGCTGGGGGGCAGATGGCACAGGCCCCTCCCCAGACCCTTCAGCACGGTCGGCACCGCACCCTCCCAGGGCCAGCCTTCCCCTTTCTGCTGCAGGGGGGAGTCCAGAGCATCTCAGGGCTGTCCTCCCTCTGCTCGGGCCCCAGCCCCCATTCCCTCCTACGCAGCAGCCAGTGCAGGAGCCTCTCCCCCAGTCCCCTGCACCCCAGATCCCCCTGCCAGCCCCAGCGTGTCCCTCAGGGGTAACCCTAGCCCCTGGCCCATGAGGGTAGGGATTAGTGGGGGTGGGGTCAGGGCTGGGTGTCTGGGTGTGTGTGGAGGGAAGGGAGCAGCTTTAAAGGTCATCTGCAGGAAGGAAGAGGAGGTCCCATCCCCCTCTGACCTGCCCCCCATCTCTCCTTCCTAGTGACTCAGGCCCCAGCTCTCATGGGGCTGAAGGCGCATGTCCCCACCCCAGGCCTGGCATGTGGACTAAGCTGCAGTTCACGAGTAGGGGAAATGGGTATCAGGACAGGGACAGACTGCCTAAGCCCTTCACCCATCTCCCACATACCCCTTTCCTATCCTCCAGTGGCATCCTGCGACCCTCGGGCCAGCCCCTTTGCGCTCGCAGATGGGGACCCCTAGCGCTGCGCCCACCTCCCGGGGTTCAGCGACCTCCCCATCCCTGTGCACCATTCCCGCTGCTCTCTGGGACGCAGTATGGCCGCAGGATAGAGGGGCTGCGAGGCCCCGGCTCCAGCTCCTCGCGGGAGCGCCCGAGGGTTCAGCACCAGGAGGCGGACAGCTCCGGGCTGGCGGCCCCTCCGAGAACCTGCGCTGGAGGCGCAGGACGCGGAGCCCCGGCAGCGGTGGAGGAGTCTGAGGGAGGCAGGGGCTTGTTTGGGAGCTGGAGGTAGGCACCGGGAGAAACGGAGGAGTGGCTGGGGGCGGGCCGGCCAGGCCAGGGGCGGGGCAGGCAGCGATTGAAAGCGGCGGGGCTGGGCTGGCGGAGAGCGCAGAGCCGCCAAGCGGGCGAGCAAGCAAGTGGGAGCTGGAACCCCGAGCCCACGGCTCCTCTCCATTTCTCCCCGCGCCAGAGCCAGAGCCGGGCGCGCCAGGTAGGGTAAGCCCGCGGGGCCGCGGCCGCAACCGACCTCACCAACCCTGACCCCACGTCCCAGAGTCCCGCGGGCCCTCGAGTTCTGGGGCGCCCTGGCTGGGACTGGCTGGGGTATCCAGACAGCGCTAGCCGGGAGCTCGGGGAAGCGGGAAGACAGCCCCAGAAAACGCACGCCCTGCACGGTGCTTCTTCCGTCCTCCTGCCCCTCCGTCCTTCAGTCCGTCTTTCTGTCTGTGCCCCTGTCTTTGTCTCAACCTCGGGCTAGATTGCTTCCTGCCCAGCTTTTGTGGCCCAGGCCCCTGGGGCTGCCTGCTTCCAGGGTCTGTCCCCTCTTGGGGTTCTGACCCCATCCATCAGAGCTTTGGTCCCTGCTACCCCTGTGGGAGGTTCTTGGTCTTGACAGGTTTGGGCCTCAGCCCCCATCTGGGTCCCCGTACCCTGTGTTGGTCTTTATGCTTGCCTCTCTCTCCTGTCTGCCTGGTCGCGCTGCTTCTTTCGGGGGTGCCCACAGGATCCCAGTCCCCTGCCCTGGCACCAGCAGGAGGTTAATCCTGGGGACTTGAGGGCAAAGGGGAGAGCCTCAGATCTGTGGCCAGGACGTGCGATCCTTGGACTAGTTGCTGCCCTTCTTCATGCTCAGTTCCCCCTCCTAGCTCCCCAAGCCTGGTGAGCGCCCGTGCGGTGCAGGTGTCTGAGGGCAGCTGGGCACGGGGTGGGGTGCAGAGAGGAAGAGGAAGGGAAGGCTCTCTGAGCGCCAGACCAGGGTGAACAGGGCCCTGAGGCTGGGGATGGGGAGGTTGGCGATGGTGACTTCTGCTTGGTTCTGAGCTGGAGAGAACAGGAAGACAAAGTCTCAGACAGCACTCTACGTAGAGCTAAGGTGTTCGAAAGTCTCACCTGAAGCACCTTCCTGAGATTTTGACCAGATCAACTGCCCCGCCCTGGACACACACATACACTCACATCTGCATTCCCTGTTGACTTCGGATGCTACTTCAGCATCCCTCCCCGGGGCCAGCCTTCCCACCTCGCTGTCTGCCTGTCATTGTGTAGAGTCTCTGTTACTTTCTCAGGGGGCGGGTTCTGGGGATGGCTTTTTAAGAACCAGAGTCTAGGACCCTTGGATGTTCACCTGGACTCTAGTCTCCCTAAGAGTTGGAGGCTAACTACCCTTTAGAGACCCTTCCCTCTTCCCTTGTGGGGTCTGAGCTAGCAGTGGCCCCCGTCAGGAAACCCAAGGCTCAGGATGGGTACTAGACCCCAAGTTTGTACCTCTGACTTGGTCTCTGCTGCATCTGGAGGTCCTGGGAGGTTTGTGCAGGGTCTTGGACATTCTGATTCTCAGGGAGATTGGTGTTGGCTGCCGTCTCCTGTTTTCTCTGGGTCCTGCCCTCTCTGCTGAGTTTGGGATGGGCAGAGGACCCAGCTCCAGACCCAGATCAGGGCAGGGCTGAGAGACAGGCCAAGGGGTGTCCCAGGAGCTTCTCAGCCTGGTTAGTGACATCACCTCTCCCTGGCTCCTGAATGCCTGGGAAAGGGGTTAGGGAGAGGCAGAGTCAGAAGGGGCAGCTGCTCTCAGACTCCACTTCTCCCTGTCTGTCTGTCTGTCTGTCTGTCTCTCTGCAGGAGCTGGGCCCCTTCTCATCTCTCTCCCTGTCTGTCCTCTCCTCCTCTTCTGCCTTTGCTGCTTCTACCCTCATCCCTGGAGGCTCGGGTCTGCTGGACCCGTCCACCCACTTTGGGGCCATGGGGTCCCTGCTTGGGCTCCTGGCACTGCTGCTGTGTGGCGTTGTGGCCGAGGGCCCCACCAAGAAGGTGCTGACCCTGGAGGGGGATCTGGTGCTGGGGGGGCTGTTTCCGGTGCACCAGAAGGGCGGCCCGGCCGAGGAGTGCGGTCCTATCAACGAGCACCGCGGCATCCAGCGCCTGGAGGCCATGCTTTTTGCCTTGGACCGCATCAACCGGGACCCGCACCTGCTCCCGGGCGTGCGCCTGGGTGCGCACATACTGGACAGCTGCTCCAAGGACACCTACGCCCTGGAGCAGGCGCTGGACTTCGTGCGCGCTTCGCTCAGCCGAGGCGCTGACGGCTCGCGCCACATCTGCCCCGACGGCTCCTATGCCACCCACGATGACGCTCCCACCGCCATCACCGGTGTCATCGGCGGCTCCTACAGTGACGTCTCCATTCAGGTATGCGGGGGCAGGAGAGAGAGGCCGAAGCGGGGGGCCAGATTCCCGCTGCACAGGGCCTCTGGGAGAAACTGGACATGTCCTTGGAGTAGCTTTTTACAGAAGACTTAGAAAGTGCCCCCTCACATAATGGGGGTCTACTTTTAGAGACTGTGCAGGGAAAACATCTCACTTCCAATGCCCCCCTCCCCCCCACACACACACCCGATGTTAAACAGCCCTGACGAGCTTAATAGCCAGGCCTCTCAAGTCAGAGGTCCAGGTGTGAATCCTGGCTCCCCACTTACTGTGTGGCTCTGGGCACTCTCTCTTCTGCACCTGTTTCCTCCTCATACAGTGAATGGGACTCCCTTCGGCTTGTGGTGGAAATTTAACGAGGTAATACACGCACAGCACGTACCCGGGGCCTGGTGGGTCATAAGGGCACAATCAATATTGGCTGCTTTTATTATTAGCCCATTTCCGAGGTGAGGAAACGGACGCGCAGAGAGGCGGCCACGAGCCAAGGCCCCCTCGAAGTGCAGATGCGAACCTAGGGCTCTCCGCCAAGGGCCTCTGGGTCCGTCGGTCATTTCTCTGTGAATGGAAAAGGGGCGGAAGATAGAAGCCAGAGGCAGCCCCGAGGGGAGGAACAAGGGTGAAGAAAACGGGGAGAAAAGCAGAATGTGTGCGGAGGTGGGGAAGAGCCCCCTAGGCCTTCAGGGGAGTGCAGTGTAGGACCTAACTTCTTGCGCAGACCCCTGCTCTCCCCTGCCCGCCATCCCGCCAGCTCCTTGGCTGGACCGCACTGTGAGGCACCTGGGTGGCGCAGGGACTGCCCGGAGGTCAGCGGTCAGCAGGAAGCTTTGTTTATGTCAGGCTCAGGCATCCAGTGGAGACCAGCCCTTGGGCTCACAGGGCCTTGGGGACCCTTGGATCCAGGTCTTCCTTCCCGGGGGAGCCTTTTCCTTCTTTCTCCATCATCCCACCAGGATCGACTCTAGGAAGGGTTAACTGCCCCAAACAGATAGAGGGCTTAAGAGCCCTGAGCACCCCAGATGCCATCTGGTGCCCCCCTCTTCCCTGCGCAGCCAAGCCCCCACCTCCCTCCACCTGCGACTGGGCTTTCCCTGGGCTCCCACTTCTGCTGCTGCCATATGTCTGAAGGGGGGCAGCAGAGAGGCTCAGGTGAGGCTCAGGACCTGTGCCTTGGCCCCGAGTCTTCTCCCCCAGCCTGGGGATGGGGTAGGAAATTCCCTGTCCCCAGGGGGAAGCCACATCAAGACACGATCTCGGTCTTTGGGGAGAGGGAGCCCTCAAGGCTGACCACATGAACACTTGGTCCCAGGGCTGTGGGGGCTCCTGTCTCAGATCCGTGCCCTCTCCCCCGCCAGGTGGCCAACCTGCTCCGGCTGTTCCAGATACCACAGATCAGCTACGCGTCCACCAGCGCCAAGCTGAGCGACAAGTCCCGCTACGACTACTTTGCCCGCACAGTACCCCCTGACTTCTTCCAGGCCAAGGCCATGGCCGAGATTCTCCGCTTCTTCAACTGGACCTATGTGTCCACCGTGGCCTCTGAGGGTGACTACGGGGAGACGGGCATCGAAGCCTTTGAGTTAGAGGCCCGCGCCCGCAACATCTGTGTGGCCACGTCCGAGAAGGTGGGCCGGGCCATGAGCCCAGCCGCCTTCGAGGGTGTGGTGCGCTCCCTGCTGCAGAAGCCCAGCGCCCGCGTGGCCGTCCTGTTCACCCGGTCCGAGGATGCCCGCGAGCTCCTGGCTGCTACCCAGCGCCTCAACGCCAGCTTCACCTGGGTGGCCAGCGACGGCTGGGGGGCTCTGGAGAGCGTGGTGGCGGGCAGCGAGGGGGCCGCAGAGGGCGCCATCACCATTGAGCTGGCCTCCTACCCCATCAGCGACTTCGCCTCCTACTTCCGCAGCCTGGACCCCTGGAACAACAGCCGGAACCCCTGGTTCCGCGAGTTCTGGGAGCACAGGTTCCGCTGCAGCTTGCGGCAACGGGACTGCGCGGCCCACTCGCTGCGCGCGGTGCCCTTCGAGCAGGAGTCCAAGATCATGTTCGTGGTGAACGCGGTGTACGCCATGGCCCACGCGCTGCACGGCATGCACCGCGCCCTCTGCCCCAACGCCACCCGCCTCTGCGACGCCATGCGGCCCGTCAACGGGCGGCGCCTCTACAAGGACTTCGTGCTCAACGTCAAGTTCGACGGTAACGTGCGGCTCCGGGTCCGCTGGGCGGCTGGCGCCGGAGGGCGAGGGGCAGGCCCGCAGGTTCCATGACTTGCTGTGAAAATTGCCGCCAGGGGCTCGAGTCACAGCCAGGGGGAGGCTGGCGAGGGGGAGGACCCAGGCGGGAGCCAGGACTACTCGGGCTCCGGCTCCTGAGAGCCTTCTGGAGAGTGGGCGTCTGGCCGGGCCTGCACTGCGGGCCTCTGGCTCCTGCTGGGGCGTTTTCCCCCCTCTCCTGCCGCTTGAACACGCGGGGCGTCAGGACCAGGGGACCCCAAGCCTGTTCTCAGGCAGGGAGACTTCAATAAGAGTCAGAATCAGGGCTGAGAGTGAGCATCAGGGTGACCCTCTGTTTTCCGGAGAAATTTCTGTTTCTAATCTTTTTTGTGTGTTAATCCTCACCTGAGGATATTTTTACCTTTGATTTTTCAGAGAGAGTGGAAGGGAAGGGGAGGGGAGGAGACATCAATCTGAGAGACACATAGATTGGTTGTCTCCTGCTCCTGCACGTATCCCAACCGGGACCAGGGATCAAACCTGCAGCCCAGGTACGTGCCCTTGCCTGGGAATCGAACCCACGACCCTCTGATGCATGGGCCAGTGCTCTAACGACCAAGCCACACTGGCCAGGGCTCTTTCTAATCTCGATTTTCCACTCAAGGTGGCAACAGCCTCTTCAAGCCAAAAGTTATTTTAACACAAGTTCCAGTTTTTGTATTATTATTTTTTTATCTTCACCTGAGGACATTTTTCCATTTTTTGTTCAGATAGAGTGGGGGAGAGAGAGAGAGAGAGAGAGAGAGAGAGAGAGAGAGAGACATCGAGTGGCTGCCACCCACACAACCCAACCAGGGCCGGGGACAAACTGCAACCGAGGTACATGCCCTTAGCGGGACCTGAACCCGGGTCTCTCTGGACTGCAGGCCGACGCTCTAACCGCTGAGCCAAACCGGCCGGGGCACAAGCTCCAGTTTTAAGGAAACAGCTGCCTGGAAATGATCACTGTGCTTCAGGAAGAAGCCCCGTGGGAGCAGGGGGGGGGGGGGGCAGGGCCCACGGAGCCCGCAGTGCTGCCCGGGTCAAGACCAGGGTCATTCCAACAAGATTGGCGGGCAGGGTTGTGGGAGAACCGGGGTCTGCGTGGGCGGATGTTGGGGCGAAGCTGCGGCTGGGTCCGGTGGGACTGACGGGGCTCCAGTTGGATTCGCGGGGCTTTGAGACTGGATGGTAAGGCAGGGGCCGCGGGGGGCTCCAGGCCGTGCCATCCCGCAGGCCTGAAGCACATTGTTGCTTGCTGAACCCCGGTCTCTCACGGGGACCCAGGATGACAGGGCATTGCCCCTGAGTTTGACTGGGAGACGAGGTTCACAGGGGGCGGCAGGAGAAGTGATTTGTGAGCTGCCTGCCGAGCACACTCGGGAGACCATCAGGGGTAACGGGCGCCGCTGAGGTTGGGAATCAGCTCGCACAGGGACCAGTATTAGGACAGGGGGCGGCTGGAGCTGGGGCTGTCAGTGGTAGAATTTAGTGGGACCAGGACCAGACCCGAGGCCGAGTTTGGCTTTGGGGGGGTCTTTGTGTTAAGTTTGGGGACAGGGATGTGGTGTGTGTGGTGATGGGCTGGGGCCAGGGCTGGAAGGTTTTGGAGATTAGGTCTAAGGCAGGGTTTGGGGAGTTACGGTCGGAGGTTTGGGTGGGCTTTAGGTTTGTGGTAATGCCTGGGCTTTTAGGTTCGGGTTGAATTTGGGGTTTAGGGTTGGGGGTTGTTGTAGCCTCTCAATTAGCAGAACGGCTGGGGGTAAGGCCGGCTTTAGTGTGGGGCGAGGATGAGGAGGAGGAGGGTTTGGGTTCCATGCTAGGGTGAGGGATGACGCACCAACCCAGCCCTCTCCTCCTTCCCTCTCCCACCCCAGCCCCCTTCCGCCCAGCTGACACCCACAGTGAGGTCCGCTTCGACCGCTTCGGGGACGGCATCGGCCGCTACAACATCTTCACCTACCTGCGGGCGGGCGGCGGGCGCTATCGCTACCAGAAGGTGGGCTACTGGGCAGAAGGCCTGACCCTGGACACCAGCCTCATCCCGTGGGCCTCGGCCTCAGCCGGCCCCCTGCCCGCGTCGCGCTGCAGCGAGCCCTGCCTCCGGAACGAGGTGAAGAGCGTGCAGCCCGGGGAGGTCTGCTGCTGGCTCTGCACCCCCTGCCAGCCCTATGAGTACCGGCTGGACGAGTTCACCTGCGCCGCCTGCGGCCTGGGCTACTGGCCCAACGCCAGCCTCACCGGCTGCTTCGAGCTGCCGCAGGAGTACATCCGCTGGGGCGATGCCTGGGCCGTGGGTCCCGTCAGCATCGCCTGCCTGGGCGCCCTGGCCACCCTCTTTGTGCTGGGCGTGTTCGTGCGGCACAACGCCACGCCAGTGGTCAAGGCCTCGGGCCGGGAGCTCTGCTACATCCTACTGGGCGGCGTCTTCCTCTGCTACTGCATGACCTTCGTCTTCATTGCCAAGCCCTCCACGGCGGTGTGCACCTTACGGCGCCTGGGTTTGGGCACCGCCTTCTCCGTCTGCTACTCGGCCCTGCTCACCAAGACCAACCGCATCGCCCGCATCTTCGGCGGGGCCCGGCAGGGAGCCCAGCGGCCCCGCTTCATCAGCCCCGCCTCCCAGGTGGCCATCTGCCTGGCGCTGATCTCGGGCCAGCTGCTCATTGTGACCGCCTGGCTGGTGGTGGAGGCGCCCGGCACGGGCAAGGAGACGGCCCCTGAGCGGCGGGAGGTGGTGACGCTGCGCTGCACCCACCGCGACGCCAGCATGCTGGGCTCGCTGGCCTACAACGTGCTGCTCATCGCGCTGTGCACGCTCTACGCCTTCAAGACCCGCAAGTGTCCCGAGAACTTCAATGAGGCCAAGTTCATCGGCTTCACCATGTACACCACCTGCATCATCTGGTTGGCCTTCCTGCCCATCTTCTATGTCACCTCCAGCGACTACCGGGTGAGCTGCCCTCGGGGGCCGGGGCGGGACCTCATTTAACCCTCTGATAACGCGGAGGCTCCCACATGTTGAATGCTCGCCCTGGGGGGCCACGCAGCTGGGACTGGACCCTGAGGACGGTGGGGAGGCTGAGTGGGGCCTGGGGAATCGGCCCAGGGAGCAGAGTTACAGGGAACGAAGAACAGACTTCAGGGCTCGGATGTCAGCCCCTGGCCTGGGCGGGGGGCAAAATGTGCCCAGTGAGCAGAGGCCCTGCTGAGGGGACACCTGGCCTGTTCAGGGAGCTCCAGGGCTCGTGGGCGACCAAGGCATTGAGTAAATGTCCCACTCAGGAAATGCTGCTGACTGGTTCAGGGTGACAAAGGCCCCAGTAAGAATGCAGAAGAGGGGATATGTTTGATAGTGGTGTGTGTGTGTGTGTGTGTGTGTGTGTGTGTGCATGTGGTGTGGAGGATCAGGAAAAGCTTCTTTTTAAAAATTGATTTTAGAGAGAGGAAGGTGGGGGGTGGAGAGAGAGAAACACCAATGTGAGAAACGTTGATCTTTGCCTCCCGTATCACCCCAACCGGGAATCGGACCCGCAACCTGGCTATGTGCCCTGACCAGGAATCAAACCCTCCACCTTTTGGTGTACAGGATGATGATCCAACCAAATGAGCCACACCGGTCGGGGCAGGAAAAGCTTCCCGGAAGAGGAATTCTTGAACTGGGCACTGCAGGACAGGCAACTTTGAGTAGGTTAGGGTGGGGAAGGTGAGGGAGAGCGGACGGTGGGCATTGCCCCCTCCGCCGAGGGGGGCGCACACAGTGGACAGGGAGGCAGAGGTGAAGGTGGAGAGCTGCAGCGAGATGGCAGGGTCAGGCAGCCGGGCAGTGTGCCATGGCGCCCCCTGGAGCTGCAGCGAGGATGGCAGGGTCAGGCAGCCGGGCAGTGTGGCATGGCGCCCCCTGGAGCTGCAGCGAGGATGGCAGGGTCAGGGAGCCGGGCAGTGTGCATGGCGCCCCCTGGAGCTGCAGCGAGGATGGCAGGATCAGGCGGCTGGGCAGTGTGCATGGCGCCCCCTGGAGCTGCAGCGAGGATGGCAGGGTCAGGGAGCCGGGCAGCGTGCATGGCGCCCCCTGGAGCTGTGTAACTCGGCTGCGAGATGAAACCGGGGAGGCAGGGAGGGTGAAGCCAAGAGCAGGCAGGGAGCAGAATGTGGGGTTGAGGAGGGTTCCAGCAGCTGCACATTGGACCCCAGCTGGCGACTTCCAAGCAAAGTTTCCAGCTGGCACTGAGTGTCCCAACGGGCCTCCTCAGCTTCAAGGAGCGGTGGCTGCTTCAGGTGGGAGGCCAGGGAAGGCCTCTCTGCAGAGGCGACAGATGAGCTGGGCTGTGAATGGTGAAGAGATCATCTTGGTGAATCCTCACGACTGGAGTAAACCCCGTGGCTCTCCCCATTTTACAGACGAAGACATGGAGACTCAGGGAGGTTCAATCCCTTCCCTAAGGTCACTCAGCTTGCGAGTGTAGAGCAGGGTCTGAACTGACCACCTTAACAATTAAAGGAGCAGGAAAATCAAGGCAAGAGCCCCTGCAAAGGCCCTTTCCCCCAGGACAGAGGTATGGTGGGCAGTGTTGGGGGCCAGGGTCGGCTGGGCTTGGCTGCTCTTGCACCTGCTGAACCACCTGCCTGGGTGGCGGAGGCCAGGGCTGGGGAGGAAATCGCTCTGACTCAGCCTGCATTTGCATATGATTTGCATTTGCATGCCAATCACAGGTGGCTAAGGACTCACCTGGAATACACAAAGTACTCACACATGCACACACACACAACTGCACACATATGCGTGCGCACACACATGCATGTATTCTTACACTCACACACGTGCACACATCAGCATGCCTGGCACACACCCACATCTTCCCACCTGCATCCTATATTGCGCCCACACACGTGCACACACTCACCACCCCTACATACACATGCCCAACAGATGTACATGTGCTTACTCACACACCCTCCATATCTGCATCCCTCCTCACACACGCGTGTACACACACTCAAGTGCACGCACGTCCCACGTGTACATGCCCCCCTGCATGGTCACCCGCAGCTGGAACTTTGGTCTCCCTGGGAAGACGGTCTACTGTGCCCAACCTTCCTAGAAGTCCTCCGGGGCTTGGCAGACGGACCCAGGCCCAGGGCTGGATGCTTACCATCTCCCCCACCCCCTACCCTGCAGCCTTGGCGGGGGAGGGGCTCCTGGGCCAGGCCCAGGCCATGGGACAGACTCATCCCTGACTCTCCACCTCAGGTGCAGACCACCACCATGTGCGTGTCCGTCAGCCTCAGCGGCTCTGTGGTGCTCGGCTGTCTCTTCGCGCCCAAGCTGCACATCATCCTCTTCCAGCCGCAGAAGAACGTGGTCAGCCACCGCGCGCCCACCAGCCGCTTTGGCAGCACCGCAGCCAGGGCCAGCTCCAGCCTCGGCCAAGGTCAGCGTCCACCCTAGCCGTCTCCTCCACCTTTGCCCCCGCCCCACCTGCTCCTCAGCGTGGGGCCACTCCCTGGGCTGCTGAGATTCCTTGGCTGGGGACAGGAGAGGGTGGGGGTGGGGGTCCTCCCCCTGCCCGCCCACGTCCACCCTCTGTGGAGGACCTTGGGGTCAGCCCCAATCTCCAGCTTCCTCCCCCTAGGGTCTGGCTCCCAGTTTGTCCCCACCGTTTGCAATGGTCGTGAGGTGGTGGACTCAACAACGTCATCGCTTTGAGGACCCCACACCGGCCTCGCACCGCTGCTCCCGGGACCTGTGCGACGCGCGTCCGGAGCTGGGAGGAAGTTGGCTGGAGCACTGCAATAATGCCAACCCCATGCCCGCCCCCAGGCCACTTCCCCGCCCACTCACCAACCCTTTGAGTCCGAAGGCGGCGCCTTGGCCTGGAGCCTCTGCAGCCGCCACCAGCTGCCCAGGCCCAGGAGGAAGGGAGCCAGCCAGGGTCCCCTGGGCCTTGGAGCAGGCTGGCTGAGGACGGCGGGCCCCAACCCCAATCAGCAAAGGTGCTTCCAGCCCTGCCCCTCCCTCCTTCTAGGGTCTTTAAACTTTTTTATATGTTATTCTGGGGTGATGGGGGGGGGTATTATGGGAGCTGTCCCTCCCTCTGCACAGTAGTTTGTCCTGTGGTTTATTTTGTATTATCTGTAAATAAAGCGTCTTTATTTAAAATAGCACTCTGCCCTTGACCCAGGTAGGCCCCTCACACCAGCCACAGCCTCCCAATCGCCGGCTCCGTGCCCCATGCTAGGACCTGGTGGCCACCGTCCAGGCCAAGCCCTGCCTGGTGGGGACAGAAAGGCATCCTCTCTTACAAGGAGCCTCTGCAGACTGGCCAGAGCAGTCCCGCAGCGAAGGCAGCAGGTCTAAATGCACACGAGCTCACCTGGCATGCCCGTGGCGGATCTGAGAACACCATCTTTACAGCATTAAGCCGTAGGTGACGGGGCAGGAGGGGCAGCAGACTGCACCCCGGGAACTGGGGGCTTTGCCCCAGGGGGCCTGCCTGCCGCTCAGAGGGGCCCGCCCTCCACCAGCTCAGAGCCCGCTGAGCATTTGATTTGAGGAAACGAGGAGACATGGGCGTCTGTCGTCTGTTCACATGGCGCGTGCAGTCAGAAGGGGCTCGTGAGGAGGGAGATGAGCAGGGAGGGCAGCAGCTGGGCAGTGGGAGGGGCCACCTGCTGTCGGCAGGGGAGAGGCGGAGGAGAGGGCCTTTCTGCAGTCCCTGGAGGACCTCTGACCGGCCCGGCCCCGGAGCCCAGCGCCCTGGGGCTTCCCCCATGTGTGCAGTCAAGGGCTCACCAGCAGAGGGCGCAGAGGCACAGGTTCCACCACATGGCTCAGCCAGGGGACTGCTGCCCTCTTGTGGCCTTCGGGGCGGTGGGCACCGAACCCAGTTGAGCAGAACCTGACAGCTCCAGGGAGCCCTCAAATTGTGGGATCTCAGAGGAACAAGATCCCGCGTTGGGCAATGGTCAGGGACATTTGTCTTTTTTTTTTTTTTATCCTCACCCAAGGACATTTTTCTATTTTTTATTCAGATAGAGTGGGGAGGGAAGGAGAGAGAGAGAAACATCGACGTGAAAGGGACACATCGAGTGGCTGCCACCCGCACGACCAACCAGGGCCAGGGACAAACCGCAACCGAGGTACGTGCCCTTAGCGGGAACCGAACCCGGGTCTCTCAGGACCGCAGGGCGATGCTCTAACAGCTGAACCAAACCGGCCAGGGCACATTTGTCATTTTTAAGCAAACTCATTAGCGTTATAGGCTGGTGAGGCTGTGGAAATTTGGGTTAACAATTAGAAAAATTAAGACAAAACGGAAAAGAGGAAATAGCAGGAATGGCTCTTCATCACCAGCCAGTACTTTGGGTGTAGGGATGCCAAATCAAATTCAGAATGCCCAGTAAATCTGATTTTTTTTTTTTTTTGGTACATGCCCCTAGTGGGAACCGAACCCGGGACTCTCTGGTTCGCAGGCCGATGCTCCAACCGCGGAGCCAAACTGGCCAGGGCGCGCCCAGTGAATCTGAATGTCACAAAAACAACAACTTTTTGGCATAAGTATGTCCCACACACTACTTGGGACATACTTACACTAAACATGTTTGTTGTTTTTCTGACATTCAGATTTAACTAGGCGTGCCGTGTTTTCATTTGCTACCTTTGGCAGCCTTTTGGGGGCGTCTGTGTTCCAGACCCTGAGTGACGCAGGCCTGGGTGCAGCCCCCAGCGGCGGGGCACCAGGGCGCTGTGCCCATGGACCTGCAGTGCGGTTCCCTGTCTCAGCCCCTGGACAGGCCGAGCTGGGTCTCTGATTCCTTCGCACCTGGAAAGCCATCCTCCTTCACATGGCTCTGGGGTGTTTTCCTCAAAATGTAAGAATACTTTTGAAAAGGTAGAAATTGACATGGTTCACAGCTAATGAAGTGCAGAGGGTCTTGGGTGGAGGGTCTCCTTCCGTCCCTGCGTCCAGAGGGGAAGACGCTGGAGCTGGTGGGAGCTTTGCCCCGGCTGCTGTCAGGCCTCAGCTCTGTCCACTACCCCCCCACGGGTGCTCTCACCGCCTCTCCCCGTGGTGAGGGCTCTCAGGAGACGGAGAGGAGGGGTCGTCGAAGGTCACAAAGCCCTCCGAAAATGTCCCCAAACCAACCTTCTGCAGAAACAGGAAAGGACTTACCGCTCCTGCCTGGCCCGCTGGGCCTCATGCTGTGAAGATGGATGTTCTTGGTGGGGGGAGGGGAGAGCAGAGGGAGAAAGGTGGGGGGCCGTGAACCCTGGGAGGGCGAAAAGGGGACGAGGGAAAAGTACCCGGTGGGAACTTTAATCCCCGAGGGCTCTGGCCACCATGTCGGGTTTCAGTTTTGTTGTTTTAGGAAAAATGACTTTATTCTTCCTGTAAAAACAATAGATGCTCCTTATAAACAGCTTGAACACTGCAGCAAAACACAAAAGGAAATAAAAGTATTATCTGCAAAGTACAAAAAGGAAATAAAAACACTGCGTAGCCATCATGAACATGTCTGGTGCAGCGTCCTAGACAGACTTCTGGGCATTTTCACAGAGAGAAGGAGATAGAAATACTTTCATTAAAATGGGATCATGCCATATGTCTATTTTTTTTTAGTGACGATTTAATTTTACTTGATTCTAATTGAAGAAGATGAATCTGAAGTGAAACCGAATAAATTCTTAAACTTCACATACGTTTCTTCACCCCACCCTCCAAGGCCCTGCAAGTTTAAGAAAAGAGACGGAGAGACATCTAGACAGAAATGTTCCGTTTGTCTCAGGGAATCGTGGTCAACACGCCTGCCCGTGCACGGAGAAGGCCGAGGGTCCAAGCCCCTCCAGGAGCACCCTGCCCCTGGCCCTGGACGCTGTGACGGTCTAACCTGTCACTTACGCACCGTGTCCAACCATGGGAGCCAGGCAGACAACTCCAGACAGGTGGCTTCTGGGTGCTGGTCCTCCCTCAGGGACGGCGGTGCGCCTGGGTCTCAGAGGGCCCTGGGCTCCTGATCTGCATCTTTTCTCCAGGAGAAATGAACGTGAGGCCGGGACAGCCTCTTGCTGTCCTGTGAGGCTGAGTCACAAAATCTGAAGCTCACTCTGGTGGTCTTGCAGCTCTGTAGACTGTTATTAACCACCTGGTTACTGCAGACCGCACCCGTGAGAAACTGAGAACACAGTTTAACTAGTAGGTTTACACTGCCGAGTTTCATCACGTAGATGCTGCTTTGGAACAGGGATCCACTTAGTTGGCTAACATTCCTCCGCTAGCTAACGTAGTCAAAGGCTGCCCAGTCCTTTTCCGACGACTTCTCCATTCCTGAGCTTCCTGTGTGGCTGGGACCTTTCCTGCCCTGTCCCCACCCCCGCTTTTTGCCTCCTCTCCGCACCAAGGCTTACCAATCGGCTGGGAACACCCCGGGTTGCCCAGATCAACCCTAGTTGGCACCCCCATCACCAGGTAGAACTACATGGGCCGAGGAGGGTGTATGACCTAGGCTGGGAAGGGCATCACTCTGTGATTTCCAAACCATGACCGCACATTGCGTTCCCAGGGCCAGGCCTCGCCCCAGCCCAGTTCAAGCAGAATCTTCAGCTAGGCTGAGGCATGGGTGCTTCCTCTGCCCCATCAGATTTTAATGTCCAACGTAGACTGAGAACCAGAGACTCAAATCCTGACCAACCCAGGTTCTAAAACGTCTCAGGCAGGGGGTGCCTACAGGGCTGGCCGTGCAGACTTCCCATCATGCTCAGCGTGCAGACCTCACGTGTTTCTTACCACTGGCGGCTGCTGGGAGGAGGGGAGTGCGGAGCTGCGCCTGAAGCTCCTGAAGGGGGTCCCTCGGAAGAGCGAGGCACCTGGCTGCATCCCTGCCACCTGCAGCTGCCAGAGGTGATGGGTGTCGCACTGACCCCCGAATCCTCACTTCTGCCACAGCTGTTCTGGAGATACCCCCTAAACCCTAAATACACATACACACACACACACACACACACATGCACACATATGCACGTACACACAGACACAACACACGTGTGTGCACAGGCATGCACATGCACACATGTGCATGCACATGTGTGTGTGTGTGCAATGCACATGCATGCGCACACACACGGCCCAGGGGAGGGAAAGCCTGACCCAGCCATGAGGCCCATGGAGACCTCTGACTCTTGTGTGCGCCTCCCCACTGACCCTCCCGTGCCCTGTTCAAGGCCGTCCGTCTGACCCTCCGTGCCCTGTTCAAGGCCGTCCGTCTGACCCTCCGTGCCCTGTTCAAGGCCGTCCGTCTGACCCTCCGTGCCCTGTTCAAGGTCGTCCGTCTGACCCTCCCGTGCCCTGTTCAAGGCCGTCCGTCTGACCCTCCCGTGCCCTGTTCAAGGCCGTCCGTCTGACCCTCCGTGCCCTGTTCAAGGCCGTCCGTCTGACCCTCCGTGCCCTGTTCAAGGCCGTCCGTCTGACCCTCCCGTGCCCTGTTCAAGGCCGTCCGTCTGACCCTCCGTGCCCTGTTCAAGGCCGTCCGTCTGACCCTCCGTGCCCTGTTCAAGGCCGTCCGTCTGACCCTCCCGTGCCCTGTTCAAGGCCGTCCGTCTGACCCTCCCGTGCCCTGTTCAAGGCCGTCCGTCTGACCCTCCCAGGCCCTGTTCAGGGCCGTCCGTCTGACCCTCCCGTGCCCTGTTCAAGGCCGTCCGTCTGACCCTCCCGTGCCCTGTTCAAGGCCGTCCATCACAAGACCCTGGGAGGGTCATGGACCTCAGACTTCTGAGATGCAGGTTCAGAGATGAACGTCCAAGGGACGCAGGCTGAGAGTGGGGGCCTGGAGCATGGACGACCATGCAGAGACAGAGATCAGATACAGAGGTGGCTGAGCCGCAGGCGCCCAGAGATGACAGGAGACTCAGCAGAGCGGAGACCCGCCAGCACCCCTCAGATGGCAGAGGGTGGGGCAGCCCGTGGACAGTTAGCGGAAAGAGAGGCAATCTTCAATCTTCAGGGGGCCAGCACAGCTGCTTCTGAGGGTGTGGGAGCAGGCAGAGGCTGCACCCCCACCCAAGGACCTCCCCCCTGCCCTCCTCTTCCTCTCCCCAGCCTGCCTGCCTCTCCCAGGCAGTGACCAGCAGAGGGGAGGGAGCGGTCGGCACAGCTGCTCCTCAGCTCCTGCCCTGGCCTCCCCAGGGGCCGGCTCGGGCTGGCTGTCTCCCGAGGAGGCCCAGCGCCTGCCCTGCTGTTACTCAGCTGGGGTGCCCACTGCCCTGGTCCCAGGGGCCTGCCAAGCACAGGCCTGTGGAATCCTGGCCTTCCGTGCTGCCTCTGGCTACAGCCAGACTCTGGTGTCCCACCCTGAGTGCAGTTGCCTGAGCAGGGCTGCAGAAATGAAAGCCCGGCACCTACCCCTGCGTGTGGGGACACCCGGGGCCAGACTGGCTGATGTGTCGGAGCTTGACCTGGACCCTGGGGTCTCTTTTCGGTACCGGATTGGTCGGATTTGCATTAGGAGCAAGGGCTTAGGTGGTTTGCTGTGGGCCGGGCTCTCGACCCCGCCAGGGAAGCATTTCGGGGGTGGAATCTGGGAGGTTAATCCCAGCCAGTCCCTCTCTGTCTATGCATCCAATTCCCAAAGGGCAAGACCGGTCAGTAAGCATCTTTATTGGAAGAGAGACCCAGTCCCCTCAGCTCTGCCGGCGCCCTAGGTCACGAGGATCTCGATGTCCAGCTCCAGCTGGCTGGCCTTGACCTCGTAGCAGCCCTGGATCAGGCCTCGGGTCTGGCTGGCATGCCAGCGCCAGTGCGACTGGATGGTGCAGGCGGCCTCGCGCGCCTGCAGGAAACGCCTGCGGGCCTGCCACATGCGGACCTGCGCCTGGACCTTCACCACCGCCCACTCCTGGCAGGTGTACAGCCTCAGCGCCAGGCGGCGCCTCTGCTCCAGCGTCCGGGCCTGCAGCGCCCTCCACCAGCACTGGATGGCCCAGGCCCGCAGCGCCGCCTGCAGCAGCGTCTGGCGCACGTGGCTGCCGCGCCACCATGCCTGGATCTTCGTGGCCGCCTTCTCCAACTGCGCGGGGGAGAACGCAGCTCTCAGCGAGGCCCCTTAGTGCCGTCCCCAGCTCTGGGCCCGAGAGGGGGCCGGCCTAGGCGGCGCTCTCCTCTCACTTCTAGATCCCACCTGTCTTATTTCCCACCCTCCACTCACCTTTAGACACTGCTCATCACCCTCCAGGCAGATCCTTCCTGTTCTGGCCTTACTCACATTTTCTGTGTCCATGGCCCTGGTGTTTGAGTGCCCAGGGGCCAGCGGGCTCACCCTAGGCTTCAGCCCCACCCTCAACTGTTAGTCACCTCCTCTCTGGACTCCACCCATCTGCACCGGGCTCCCCAGCTCCCTGCAGGTGCTGTCCCACCACATTTCAGCCATCTCTCCCCTCCCCTCCCCTCCCCTCCCTTCTGCTGTGTCACTTCATCCGTTGACCTTGCTGACGGATTGCCACCTGCCACCGTGGTGGGGCCTGCCATTATGTCTTGCCTTCACACCCAGCTGGTAACTGAAGTCTCGTCCTTTCTCTTCCATCCAGTCACTTGCTTCTGTTCCTGCCAGTGGCGGAGAAGAGGGTCCCTGCCCCCTTCCCCTGAGCAAGGGCCTTTGCTTTAGCCATGCTCTCAGCGGTGTGGATTCCGGGGCGTAAGTGGGAGGGGCTTGTCTGTCTGGGGGAGGGGAAGTTTCTGTGTCAACTGTGAAAGCAGGGTGTCTGAACTGCCCCCCCCAGGCCTCTGGACCCCTCTCTGGCTCCCTGTCGCCTTTCTGTTGGGTGTGCCATGGCTGCAGCGTCTTTGGGGGGACAGGACTAAAAGCTGAGTGCGGATGTACTGAGTTTCGTTAAGTGAGGTAGATTTATGTGGTCACAGCACCCCTAAGAATGGATAAATTCTCACTGGCCGTTCTGCTAGATACGGCGTCCAGGACTGGTCCTGCCTGTGAGCATCCATTCACCCGTCCTGGGGACAGAGTGCCGCTGTGGTCACAGGGACGCGCCCAGTGCCCGACCAGAAGTACACGGGCAGGGGAGGAAGAGTAAGGTCTGAAAGGCCTGGAGACAAAAGCTGATCTGCAGAAAATTCTTCCAGTCCCCGGACATGTAAAACCTTAAGTGAAAGAGTCTATTCTCACTGACGCCCGATTGAAATGAAATTCCCCGTGTCAGGGACGATTGTAAACGCAGCATACTTGTCCCCCGTTTCGGTGTGAATGTTGTGACACAGGACTTGCCAGCATCCCTGTGACTGCAGGACTCCTGCCCGCAGGACGTCGTGGGCCGTGTGCGAGTCGGCACGAGAACTCGTGACTCGTGCAACCTGCGCGTCCCCGAGACACCGTCTGTAGTGAAAGCCATCCCGGGAAGAGGCGACCGGAGCTTATGCAGCTAAACACACAAGGGACGTGTCACGGCGGTGGGACAGATGGACGAACACAAACACCATGTTAGGTTTTCGTATTTGCCCACTTGTAGGAACGTGTCATTTGTTGTGAGCTTTCCTCACCCTAAACCTCCACTCGCCTACTTCTAAGTCTGTAATTTGTCTTCTTTTCTTAGAGTAGGCCTTGCAGGTCCCGTGAAGCAGGGGGGTGCCCTGCTAGCCATGAGGGGCAGCTCCCAGGAGCCCGCGGAGCTGGGTTAGGGCTGCAGCTGCGGCCGCAGGTGACGCTGACGGGTCCTCTGGGACCCGAAGGCCACTCTGGCTCTGGCTCTAGCCTGGCGTTAGTGCCCATTTTCCTGCATGAGGTTTGCGGGTGCCCACGCTGTCTGTGGTTACCAGCCTCGTCCGGTTACGGCACCGTCTGTCCATCAGGGTGTCTCGGACGTAGGCCCCATTGTCAACCATGTAACCTCTTTGTGTCGTGTTAAAACCCTCCGAAGCAGACCTACTGCTCCCTTGACGGCTGTGGCTCTGGGTTAGCAGAGGGCGGCGCCGCCCGTCTCAGGGCCTCCGTCACCCCTGCTCCGCTGGTCCTGGCGCCCAGCCTCCACTCCCGGCCCGTCTCAGGGCCTCCGTCACCCCTGCTCCGCTGGTCCTGGCGCCCAGCCCCCACTCCCAGAAGGGACCAGTTAGGAGGGGACGGCAGACGTGGTCAGCACTCTGAGGCTCAGCGCTTCCAGGTCAAGGGGCCAGATCCCACTTTCCTTTCAGATCCCTCCCCTCGCTCACGGTGGCCTGGCTGGTTGTCACCTGAGTGCCCTGGCGGTGTCCCCTTCGAAGCCCCTGGAAGCTCCGCGTGGCAGCAGGCGGGTGGAGGGGGTGAGTGCCAACCGGCATCGACCAAGTTGTCCCAGGCCACGGCGCCGGGTCTCCTCACTGTTCCCTTCCCAGCCTCTGCTTCCTTCTCTTGCTTGATGTTCTCCTTTTATTACCACACAGGCCGCATCTGTCGCTGAACTTTAAGTAACGCAGAACAGTGCAGAAAAGGGAGTGTCCCATGAACTTCGCCCCAGGGCTATTCCGCCAGACCTCACACCGGGCGCAGACTGGCGCAAATCTTCGATGAAAAAGCACTTCTGTTTAATGCATACATTTCAAACTAAAAATTTCCTCGGCAATTAATGTTTTCTTCCCTCACACTGCTGCTTGCGGCTCGGAGGGGCCCCGGACGGTCCGCCTGCCTTCACACACGCGGAACGTCCAGGCACCAAGAGGGACAGAAAACCGCTGTGTTTCTGTTTCCTTTGAAACTGATTGAGGTGAAGGTCACATAAGATAAACTTGACCATCCTAACCATTTTAAAGTGTACAGTTCAGGGCTTTTAGTACAGTCACCACTAATTCCAGTGTCTCATTTCATCTCATTTTAATTCTAACTCCATCACCCCCAAAGAAACTCTATACCCATTAAGCAATTACTTCCCACCCCAGGCCCTGGCAACCACTAATCTGATTTCAGTCTTTATGGATTTGTCTATTCTGGACTTCTATATACATGGAATCATACATGGTCTGTTGTGACTGGCTTCTTTCACTTAGCATGTTTTCAAGGTTCATCCATGTTGTAGCATGTATCAGTACTATATTCCTCTTTATGGCTAAGTGACGTTCCATCGTTTGGATATATAAAAAATTTACTTATATGTAAGGTGTCCCCCCAAAATAGATACACACTTTGAATATTTATAAATTTCAATAAGTTAAATCTGAAAAGAAAGAAACATCAATTGAGCTATCAGCTTTAAAGTGTGTATACATATTTTGGGGACCCTCTGTATTCATAAGTTGATAAATATTTAAGTTGTTTTCACACTTTGGTGACAGTGATTATCTATGAGCATGTGTATACAATATTCGAATGCCTGTTTGCAGTTCTTTTGGGTAAACACCCAGGAGTGCATTGCTGGGTCACGCACATGATAGTTCCGTGTTTAACTTTTGAGGAACCACCAAACGATTTTCTGTGGTAGTGGAACCATTTTACATTCCCACCAACTCCACATCCTCACAACACTTCATTTTATTAACAGTAAGTACAGATATTTTTATTCTTTGCTTTCCAATTGGTATGTACTTTATTTCTTGCTTGCTTAACTCCCCTGGCTAGAATTTGAAAACTTGGCAGGCCCCACCCTCCACCCCCCTCTAGGATTGTCAGTCTGTTCCTCAATCCCATGTCTCTGGGTCTATTTTGTTCATCAGATTATTTTGTTCCTTATATTCACAAATAAGTGAGATCATGTGGTCTTTGTCTTTCTCTGAATGGCTTTTTTCGCTTAGCATAATCCTCTCCAAGTCCCTCCATGTTGTCTCAAAGGGTACGGGATCTTTCTTCCTTACAGCTGCATAGTACTCCATTGTGTACATGTACCACAGCCTTTTTATCCACTCGTCTACTGATGGGCACTTGGACTGTTTCAGATCTTAGCTATTGTAAATAGTGCTGCTATGAACATGGGGGTACATATATTCTTTCTGATTGGTGTTTCAGGCTTCTTAGGGTATATTCCTAGAAGTGGGATCACTGGGTCAAATGGCAGTTCCATTTTATTTATTTATTTATTTATTTATTTATTTATTTATTTTATCCTCACCTGAGGACATTTTTTGATATTTTGTTCAGATAGAGTGGGAGGGAGAGAGAGAGAGAGAAACATCGACGTGAAAGGGACACATCGAGTAGTTGCCACCCGCACGACCGACCAGGGCCGGGGACAAACTGCAACCGAGGTACATGACCTTAGCGGGAACCAAACCCGGGTCTCAGGGGACAGCAGGCCGATGCTCTAACCGCTGAGCCAAACCGGCCAGGGCAGCAGTTCCATTTTAAATTTTTTGAGGAAACATCGTATTGTTTTCCATAGTGGCTGCACCAGTCTGCATTCCCACCAGCAGTGCACTAGAGTCCCCTTTTCTCCACACCCTCGCCAACACTTGTTGTTTGCAGATTTGTTGATGGTGCCATTCGGGCAGATGTGAGGTGATACCTCATAGTGATTTTAATTTGCATCTCTCTGATGAATAGTGACATTGAGCATTTTTTCATGTCTCTTGGCCATTTGTATGTCCTGTTTAAAGAGGTGTCTGGCCCTGGCCGGTTTGGCTCAGCGGTTAGAGCGTCCACCTGCGGTCCGGAGAGACCCGGGTTCGGTTCCCGCTAAGGGCATGTACCTCGGTTGCAGTTTGTCCCCGGCCCTGGTTGGTCGTGCGGGTGGCAGCCACTCCATGTGTCCCTTTCACATCGATGTTTCCCTCTCTCTCTCTCTTCCTCTCTCTCCCTCCCACTCTATCTGTATAAAAAATGGAAAAATGTCCTCAGGTGAGGATTAAAAAAAATAATAAAATAAAAAATAAAGAGGTGTCTGCCCATTTTTTAATTGGATTCTTTATCTTCCTCATGTTGAGCAACTCTTTTTTTTTAAATCATGGGCTAATATTCTATTGCCTGGATGGAGCACAGTTTCTTTGTCCATCACCTACTGACGGACATCTCGGTTGCTTCCAGTGTGAGCAGCTATGAACAGAGCTGCTGCGACCATCAGCAGCTTTTCGTGTGGACACGGTTTTCACCTCCTCCGGGTAAGTGCCAAGAAGCATGACTGCCGGATCATATGTTGTAAGACACTGCCACCTGACTTCCCGGGTGCTGTCCGGGAGCGGACGTTCCTGTTGATCCTCATCCGCGCCAACACGGGGCGGTGTCGGGGTTCTGGGTTCCGATCATTCTTGGGGGGTGTGCTGGGATCTCATTGCTGTTCTGATTTGCATTTCCCTGATGACACACGCTGGTTC